ATAAAGCAGCGCAAGCGCAAGTTCGGGGGAGTCGTTCGTCAATCGTTGCCCAGTTCACACGTTACGCAATCGCTGAGTAATTTTATTGTGCACTGTCGAAAGTAAACGTTACTTTAATTACGAAGATTTAATTGTTTTATTACTCCATAAACATATCTCTACCGATATATATGACGAAGAGGGTTCTCGCTTGACATCGCCTACCATGCCTGAATATTGTCTTACTGGTCCCAAATCTTTCTATTTAAATTTTGTACCTATAACACGTTTCAAGTGTTCAGTTTCAACAGAATTATTAGAAAATATAAAAAAAACCGTCAACATATAGGCCACAATAATTTTTATTTCATCCTTGGTTTTTCTGAACAAACAAGGCTCATACTGACTGGTTTTGTTTGTTGTTTTAATCCGCAGATTGCTCTTTTTAATTTCAATAACTTTCCCCCACTTTTGTTGTCAAAACCCTCAGATAAAGACATAAAAATACTTAATATAATAAAAATAGTTTCTTTCAAAAAACCGTTTAAAAAGGCTGCAGTTACATCTAAGTGATCAATACTCATACTTAACTTAAAACTGAGAGCAAATAATAATAATCTAAGTGTGGAATGTCTTACAACTGGAGAGAAAATATCTGTGAAGTCAATGCCAGGTTTCTATGAAAAACCCTTAGCCACAAGTCTAGCTCGGAACCGCACATTATTGTCCACATCAAACTTTTTATTGAGCACCCACCTGCACTTCACAATTGTAACATTGCAACACATGTCACCTGTATCGTCAACAAGCTCCCAAGCGTCATTGTCTTCAAACGACTGCAGCTCGTCGGCCATGGCACGATTCCACTGCCCAATCTCAGGTCCTGCGAGAGCCTCTGAGAACACAATCTCTTCTGATGCTGGAACAGCACTAGAAAGACACATATAACCACACCAATCAGGTTGTGACGCCTTACTAGGCAATTCTGGCTCCTGCTCTAGAGTTGATGTCATCTGGGCTTCCTGCACTGAATCAGATCCAGTTGGAATTTCAATTGATGTTCTATTCCCATCCTCATACACAGAGGAATTTGAATAGTAGTCTTCGGACTCTAAAACATTCTGCAATGCTTCCCTCACTGATTCTGAATTCGCCTCTTCCTGTTTGCCAACTGCAAATGTTTCTTCATTAGGAATCCAGATAGCCGACTCCTGACTTTTTTCTTCGGTACCTAATTCTTCTTCCATAAAGATAACATGCTAGTAACAAGGGTCTTCTTGCTAGTCTGTTGGGCACCTTTCGTCTCGACAATAATGAGAATATTTTTTTTGTATGGACTGTATATGGACAGTGACTTGTTTGCTACACTATCATTACACTTAAATCTGGTGCTTATTATTGACCAACGTCAGTGACGCGGTGGTTGCGTGGCGCGAGAGAGCCGAATCAAGCTAAATGCCAAATGGAGAGGTTAGAGACACTGACTCGTAATAATTTTACGCGCGTTCGTATTTTCCATAAAAAAGGTCGTTACGTGCGATTGTGGACATAAAAAGGCATCCATAAAACAAAGCAATAAAACGTAAGTCGTTAGACGTCGGCACACAAATGAAGTGTGGCGCACGTTACACACACTGTTGCTACGTCACGTGACACCGTGCGTGTGACCGGTACACGCACACACCGATGTGTCCTTATACAATTACATAATATGTTTTTTTAATATCAATTTATTTATTTGTTGAAACACAATTGGGTATTAGTTAAGTCACTGGTAGTGTTTCTTTGTTTACAAGTGCAACTAACGAACAAGGCGTTCTGTGTTGAAATTCCGAATTAGGCAAATTATTACTCAAAAGTTCTTTTTATATTATGAAAATTCTTCGTGGAGCATGACTTTCCGCCCTATTCTCGAGCAAGAGGTTGCAGGTTCGAAACCTACAAACGGCACCTATTGTAAGGAGGATTGTTGACAATTCAGGTGACCGAAGGGGCTGGCTACTTACTACCTTGGGCAAAGGTTAAGCTTTGCCATTCAACGTGGCAATGCTGCCAGTCTTTTGGGCTTCTCACGATAGCGATGAGGAATTTTTTAAGGTGTAAATATATTAGTTTTTAGTTAGTTACATTTTAAGTTGTTTAAAATTTCAATTACTCATTGAAACCTTAATAGATACGAAAAAAAAACTTTCTAAGATTATTAAGACACCAGTGACAAACGGTGAAGGAACATTTGAAATCGTCAATCCGCATTGAGCAAGCGTGGTGATTAATGCTCAAACCTTCGTGTCAGAGGCGCTTGGTTAGCAGTGGCCACTTATAAGCTGTTGATTGATTTATCTGATTAATATTCTTCAAAGACTTATTTTGGTGAGATAAATAAAAAAAAAACATGAAATTTAGGATCTTTGATCCTGAAATAACTTTCGACGCTCATGAAGAATCTATGGGTACTTTGTAGATATTCTAAAGGTGAACCCGAGGTCTTCTTTTTTTTTTTTAAGGGGTGAAAATCATCGAATGACTGCACCCGCCTAGGTGAGGCGGGAGGGAGTGTCAGACTCTTACTGACTAAAAACCACCCCGTTCCTTCTCCTGCACGTCGAGTCGGAGCCCCGGTTACCCGTTAGGTTCTCCGCGACTCCGAATCGGCATCGGCCGTATTGGGCCCCATCTGTGGTGGTCTGATGGCTCTTTGAGGCGCGCGCGGTACGCGACGCGCCGTACGCTCGGGTCTGTTTCTGGTCGGACGGGGAGCCACCCATGCTCGCCGTCCGCAGGCCCGCGCTTACGGTGGCCGGAGATCGTCCCGCGATCCCCGACGCCCGGTGTGTCCTTCGCGATGGCTGAGTTGCGAGGAGGCAGCGCTTCGCTGCCTCACGCATCCCGCCTCCTCCTTAGCTAGCATGACTGCTTCGCAAAAGGAGGAGACGGCATCCCAATCCCCCTCGCTCCGCATCATAGCCTGCACTAGGCCCGGACGCGAGAGGTCGCCATCGCCGATCACTTCCTTGAGGACACGGCGGTGCTCAGCCCACGCAGGGCATCTCTCAAGCCACTCCTCAAAGAGAGGACTTACCGCTGCAATGGCAGCGAGCCCAGAACCCGAGGTCTACATCAAGATTTGGTTCTTCCCTAATTCTTATAATTTCAATTGTCTACTTTGACGTTACTGTTCCGAGTCCGCCTTGAGAACATTATAAAGTACATGACGGCGCCGCCGTCATCATTTTGTAAACTGCGAATGTATTGGGCAAGCAGTGAACAAACAACTGACCGACGTCACTTCAACCCCACCACCGAGTGATATATAAAGCAGCGCAAGCGCAAGCTCGAGACAGTCATTCGTCGATCGTTGCCCAGTTCACACGTTACGCAATCGCTGAGTAATTTTATTGTTGGTTTTATTTGAGTGTTTCCTTTATATAATCAGAGCTGAATTATTCAATTATTATAATTAAAAATTAATGTGAAAGTAAGTTCATTTAATCGAAATAAACTAAGTGATTGTGTGAAGCCCTTTGTTTTATTTTCAAATAATGTCGGACCCTGATCCTACATACATATTATCATGTTCATTCTTTCGATTGAAAATAAAAGGTTATTTACCTTTGAATTTTTACTTTTTTTTTTGCATCGGCTTGAAGAGTATTGTCGGATAAATAAACTGGATCTCAACCCATCTAAGTGTTCCGTAGTCACTTACACTAGAAAGCGTCCATGTCACTAATTATACTTTAGCGGGTCAGCCCTTACCGAGATGCACTACTATACGTGACTTAGGCGTCCATCAAGACAGCAAATTGGTTTTCGATACACATATTGATGCAATCGTCGAAAAAGCCTCTAAACTGCTTGGATTTATAATGCGTCTTTCAAAAAGTTCACCGATGCAAAGACCCTTAAAATATTATATTGCACTTATGTCAGGAGCCAGCTGGAGTATGCGTCTCAGGTATGGAATCCAAGATATCAAAAATATATTGATCGCGTCAAAAACGTTTTATAAAATATCTGTTTCCACCAAAATATACCATACCAGTCTGCCCGTTATCTTGAACTCTGTAGAAAATTCCATCTATTACCATTGGTAGATAGACGCAATATTGCAGATTGTCTATTCTTGTTTAAGGTTCTTAACGGCAATGTGGAAAGTCCAGAACTATTATCAAAAATCAAATTTAATGTACCTAATAAAATATTTAGATTTAATCCACCTTTACACGTATACCGTTCCTCATCTAACTACAGGCAGAACAGTTACATTATACGTGCAAGCAGACACTTTAACAATGTTTGTAAGGAATATGACTTCGATCCGTTTACAACTAGTGTGAACTCGGCAAAGAGGTGCTTAAGCCTTAATTTTTTTAAGCAGCACTAGATCTTTAGTTTTTTTTATCGTTTCTCTTGATCTGTTCATAACCATATTGTCTGTACGGTCTGTTTCAATATTTATTTTTTTCATTTACGCTGAATGTATGTATTTTTAATATTGTATAGTACTCACACCATATTAATTAATTTGTTTCAAATGTTAAACGTGAGGACTTGTTATTGGCTTATTGTTACCTACGCCTATTGTTATTTTTATCCATTTTTATATGCTGTAAGTCCTCCATGAATTATAAATAAATAAATAAA